TTTTTTTTTTTTTTAATTATCAGAACCAATGTCCTCGTCAGTTTAGTCAATTATTTGTTTTCGTTTCACTTTGTGGAAGACGAGCGCATTGCACTACTACTTTGCACCGAAAGTCATCACCCCCTCCCCTCCCCCCGCCCTCGCCCCCCATGCATATCGCGTTTTTCTCTTCCTATATATTTTTCTTCTTCTTCTTCTTCTTCTTCTTTTTTCTCTTTATTCGTTTCCATTTTGTTTTCTTTCTTTAAAACCTTTCTCTTTCTCTATCATTCGATCAATATGGTAAGCTTAAAAAAATAAAAATAAAAAAAAAAATTATAACAAAACGAGAAAGAGGAAGTATACCACTACGCATCTTGAGATTCTCGATTTAGTATCCGTTTCGTACACATCATCATCATCATGATTATCATCATTATCTCGCGTTGCTCGTTGTATCTTCGAACTTGATTATCAATCATCCTCACCAATCTCATCGTCATCGGCATCTTTCGTTTTTTGTCGAAAAAAAAACGAACGAACGAACGAAGGATCGATGGAAGGATCTGCGAGACAAAGGATTGAAATGTTTTACGAAGAATTGCATTCATAAATATCGTTCGCCGAGATCGGGTTGTGATCCACCCCCTTCCCCCTTCCAGGTTCGGTCGGTTTAATTATGACGACGATGACGACGACGACATCGATGTCATCATCATTGGATCAATTTATCGATCACCGGCAGGAATAAACGAAATCTGCATTTAAGGAAAATTAACTATGGGACCACTTGGCCGGGTCACGTTGCTCGGTTTGCTTCGTCGATTCATGTTTATACCGCCGACACTTGGGCATCATCGTCATCTGGAACATTTCGAAAATATATTAAAGAAAGTTTCATTTCGATCAATATCGAACGCGTTTAAAAAAATCATTTTCTTTTTTTTTTTATTTATATATTTCTTTTCTTGTTGCATTTTATTTTCTAAATTTTATTTGCTACGATCATTTTTTCTAACACTAAACCTATCACCGCGGTCCTGTATAATTTGTGAAAATGAATTTGGGGGTGAACCAAAAGTTGTGTTGTTTCGGATATAATGCAATTTTTTTGTTTCTGTTTAAATCAATAAAATTAATTTTCTATGCAAGTGAGATATTTCATTTAAAAAAATGCACGAACTTTTTTTGGTATACCTTTGATAATTACACATCATTCGTTTTTAAATAAAAGAAAATATTTTGTTCGTCGTTTAATTGGATACAAATGTCATTCTATATTAAGATATATGTAATTTGATGATAGGTTTAGCGTTAAAATTCATTCAAACGTGATCGAAAAAGAGTGAAATCGATTTTCTCTTTTTTTTTTTTGGATTTAGAATAAAATAAGATTTTTCATAAAAAATAAGATTTAGATAGAATCGAGATGTTAGGATCGTGGATAGTGTGATTAGGATAAAAGACGTGCAAGTTGGGCGCAAGCAAGCGAGCCATGCCGCGTTATAATAATCACGCAAGAGTAGAACAAAACGTTGCGTCAAATTTTCTAAATTTATATACAGGGTTTATTATCCGGACGAGTGGTACAACAACCTAAAATAATGGCTGATTTTATATGTAAGAAAAAAAAAGAATAATAATAAATAAATAAAATAAAAAATAATATTAGTTTCATTTGCACTGTGTTTTTTAAGAATAAATTGTATTTGTAAATTCTTATTTTTCTGTTAATTCTAAAATAGACTTGCAATAAACGCATAAATCCTACGACATTGCAAAATTTCTAATTAAATTGTCGTTCATTAAATAATAAAATTATTAATTCGTTTTAATTTTTAAATATTCACTTCTGATTATATTTTCTGCTAAAAAAAAAGAACAATTTGTTAAATTATAATAATATTACGTCATTTGGTAATACGTTTTAAATTTCAAATTATTATCCACCTAGTAATACTTGATGATGATTCGGAAACCGTTGTAATAATCAGCTGCTGTTGTTCCGTTCTTGTTCACAGTTCGACTGATAAAAACAAACTAAATAACGGAGAAATAAATCGTACAATTAAAGAAGACAAAAAGTAAACATTGCAGAAGACAATGTATACAAAGTATTTCTAAACTGATTTTGAATTAATTTTCGATTATGATCTTTGCAGAAATTGTTTAGTTTTCCTAATGAACTGTAATTTTGTTCAATGTAAGCGTACTTTTTCACAAATAATTTTACATAAAAAGGTTACTCCTTTTTTTCAACTTAATATTGCATATAAAATCAACCCTAATTTGTATATACCAACCATCCGGAAACATCCTGTATTATCAGTAATATTTCGAATAAAATATCTCGTTGTTTTAGACAACACTCACGTGGATGCGAATTTTTATATTTTCGCGATAACTTCGATACGAAGCCAGCAGAAATATGCAGAATGTGAATGACGATTTTATTAAAGAAATAATTCATTCAATCTCTTCGATGAAGAAGAAGAATGAGAAGGAGGAGGGGGTGTGAACGATGCGAGTATGAATACAAAAAAATATTTGTGAAAAATATCCATAAACGAGATGCTTTCTTTTTTTTCGATGGGATGCAATGGTGTACGATGCTCAAACAACACACAAAAAATAACGAATAAACATAAACAAAAAATGAAATCTCTCGTTAATGATAACGAGTTATGACAAGCAGCAGCATTTTGCTAGTGTTGACAATTTTTAACACACTTTTCTTTCAGCAAGGAATTATTTACAACCGAACGAATGAATCAGTCGTTCGAATGATACACGATGTCAATCACACATTAAAAAACATAATCTTTAGAAATAATAGGATTAATCTTCGATAGATTGATATAATTAATAATAATAATAATATTAAGACGATGACTATAACTATTAATTCACCTTTTCCATAAATATATAACTTTAACGAATCTGTTCGATAATTAATGGAACAAAATGAATGATCATATAACAGTGACGTAAACTGAAGAAGTTCGTGAAACGTAATCGGAGGGTAACCTTGCAAACGAATAGAAACGAGAAAAAAAATGTCAAAAGTAAAATTCGCGAACAGAAAAAAAAAAGAAAAATAAATTTAATACTTATTTTATAACATACACTGAAACCACCCCTCTGAAATTATGTTTACGTAATTTGAAACATTCACCTGTATTATTGACGTAGCAAATAATTAAATTACGTTTCTTAAGTTTCTTATCTCAATATTTACCACAATGAATGCTCGTATCGTCTCGCTGATGCTTTGTTAATACCACATACATATATATAAATAAATAAATAAATAAATATATGTATATACATCGCAATATGCAATAATCATTGTAAGTAATTATCAAGTGCAATTGACAATCAGACTTGATATCATCTATCAGACAAGCCCAAAGCATCTCTCTAAAAAAATCTACGAAACAAACTACGAGAATTCAATCAAATTCCATCATCGTCAAAAGGGCGTGAAAATGATAAACGAAACGTCATTTTTTTCATTGCCCTCTGTCCTTTTCCGTATTTTCAAAGTTACCCTCTTCCGTTGTAATGGCTCTGAAAAATGTCTCGTCTCTGAGGAAGAAAATCGAACACTATGTCACGAGTAAGATGAAAAAGGGAGGGAGGGAGGGAAGGAAGGGGAAAGAGTAAAGGTTGAAAGAAGATAGAAATGTTGGTGATGACGAATTGTATCGTCTTATGTAAAGAATAGTAAGAGAAAGAGATAAAGAGAGAGAAAGAAAGAGAGAATTATGAAAGTGAGAATGGAAGAGTGAAAGAGAGAAATAGAAAGAGAGAAAGAAAGAGAAAGAAAGAGAGAACGAATGTACACGTTTACACATACATTCAGATAACTCGTTATACTTACATACTTATTATCATCTTAAGTAAAAAAAAAATAATTAAGTTAACTTCCTATAGGATGAGAGAGAAAGTAGTACGAAAATAAAAAAATGATAGGCTATATGTGTGTAAAATTCGTGTGTGTAACTCAATAAATACGTAACTCATGGCGTACTACGCGAGTAAAAAAACAAAAAAAAAAAAACAAAGAAGAATCATTTTATATACTCGAGAGTAAAGAGAGTTGAAACGTAATCTAGTCACGTAGGGAATGCAAATGTTTGTTTTCTTTTGGTTGCATATATAATATACAATACATATAAATAATATAATGTAATACTAACGAAAAAAAAAAAAGAAAAAAAAGAGAAAGAAAGAGAAAGAGAGAGAGAAAAAGAGAGAGAGAGAGAGAGAAAGAGCCGCGAAAGAAGAGGGTACGAAATATATTATTTCGATAGTGTGTGTTGTGTTGGGTGTAGTAGTAGTACCATCTTCGTGATCGGTCCTATATGTGACTCCTTCGTGGCTGTGAGCACGACCAAGCCTGTGTAATCTTGCCATCTGTGCTGCAACTTTGTATGCAGGTGGTTGCCGGCATTGACTACCACCCCCCATGCCACCCAGGCCAATGGCGGCTCTCATAGATGATGCATTAGACGAAGTCATCCCCCCCGTCATGGATGATGTTAGGTTTGTCATAATGGTCGTTGTCCCTGCACTTGGTGGGCCCTGGACGACTCCGGCCAAACCGGAACCTGAAAACCCTCGACTTTCTTTCTCTCGATTCTCACACCACCAATAAAGAAACAACACCAACAACAACACGCAAAAACCTACGGAAGGGATTCCCTATATATATATATATATATATATATCATTTTTCCTTCACACATGTATAATATATATATATAATTTTTTTTTGTTTTTTTTTTCTTTTCTTTATTCTATACACCCCCTTCCACCCTACCCCTTTTGGAAGAACCACGTCGAATCGTCGAACAAATTCGCAATCGAGATTCGTCGATCCGTCTAAAAGCGAGTGTTTCTCTTCCCACAAAACAATTCGTTCTTTTTTTACTTTGTTAATTGTTTTTTTTCTTTTACTACATTTATTACGAGAAAAAGTTAGAAATTGATTGGAAAAAATGTATTAATTATATTATATTTCATACACGAAAATGTGTCAATCGTTTAAGTACTTTATTTGGCCGAAACACAATTGCGTATTCTATTCAATGATATTTTAATCAACAAAATATATATTATTGAAATAATTCAAATCATCGTAGAAGAGAATAATCACGCTAATTCGGGATCGAAATTAGGAATATAAGCGCGTGGGGTTAATTTATATAAACCACCAACGCTCGCCACGATTCCCACCGTTGTGTCCGATGATCAAAACGAGAAAGAGGAAAGAGATAAAACAGAGAAAGGGAGAGAAAGAAAGTGTAAGTAAGAGAAAGAGAGAGAAACAGAGAAAGAAAGAGAGAGAGAGAAAGATATACACAGAAGAAAGAAAAGAGAAGTGACAAATAAGACGAGGAAGGAGACCAACAACGCGTCTAAGGAAAAAACCGTTCTCCACATGAATTAGTACCCTGAAAAGAAGCCTTCGTATTCAGTTAAGATAAACCGAACAAATAAATAACATGCAATACGTACAGGTAAAACAGTGAATTAACGCGAATCCAACACTTTACATTCGTATAAAGATAATAATAACGCAATCCACAACACAGCACGCAAGCATCCCACATAATATACACGTAAAAAGCAATGCGACAAATGCACACTAATTATACATTCCTAAGGTAATTTAAATGTTATCATACAAAAGTATAATTAATTCGTTACGCAAAAGCCATTATACTAAACTATCCTTTATTTTTCTTAAACTTAGATTCTCGTATTATTACGATACACGCTAAACAAAATTATCGGCTCTTCGTAAAATAAAAGAAAACACAATTATTATTATTTTCGTTTATGATAATGATATCATCATTGGAACTCGTTGAAAATTTTTTATCTTTGAGTTATTGAAAATTAAAAAGAGAAATTCGAGCCGACGTATTCGTTGCGATCATCGTAACGATTTATTTGACATGAAAAATATGCATGGTATTGAAAGAAAATGAGAAAGAGAAAGAGAGAGAGAGAGACATAAATAGAGATACAGAGAGAGAGAAATATAAAAAGAAAGAGAAGAATTTAGTTGTTGAGAATAAAGATAAGCGATAGCAGCAGTGACCGAGAGTTAGCAGGTAAACGCACAGCAAACTCACCTTGAGGGGGTTGGGGTTCGTGATGGTGATGATCGTGATAATGTTGGTGATGATGATGATTGTGGTTGTGATTCTGGTTGTGGTTGGCAGGAAGCGGAGGTAACACTGCTACAGCGTGAGGAAACGGTGGAGCACCACCTCTCATAATTGACCCTGCACCATAGACAGAGGCCACATACGATATTTTTTTTTGTCTGCTATTTTATTTCGAAACATTTATTTATTTTTTCTTTTCTTTTCTATTTTTTTCTATTCTTTCCTCTCTTTCTCTTCAAAATTACAAATCTCTTTATTTGTTCTTTGGAATTTTGTGGATATGTACACACAGGTAGTATTTTATATATATATATATATGTTACCGTCATAGCAGGAAATCCGCCATTGCTAGTAATTCCTTCAAATTTGCAGCATCGCATTCTTTGCCATTTTATGAACCTTTTCAGATTGATTTATAACTCGATATGGTGTTCTACGCGTAGAGAAAAGAGTGTACTTTAATTTAATATAAGTTTTATTAAAATCTATTCACTTTTAGTATACAAAATATTGACCAAAACTTTTCAAAGAAATTGCAAAGATGCACAATTTACAGCATTGCATTTTCTGACAATGCCGGGGAATTATTAGCAAATTAAGATTTTCGGCTATGACGGTAATATATATAATATACAGTGGATATATTTACACAAATAGATGACGGAAGCATGAGAGACATTTTGTTGGTAAGCAAATATAATAAAGAAATAAAATGACCGTGTCCTTTTTTTTCTTTTTTTTTTTTAACATTTACCGGAATGAAAATAACAAGATAATGTATATAATATGTTACAAGATATGATTATTTTTCCGAATGCGTTTTTTTTTTGCTATACAAAAGCTTAATGTCTGTGTAAATAATATTTGTGATTAAAATAAAAATAATTAATATTAAGCTGTGAAAAAGCAAAACGATTTTACACGCAAGCGATGAAATGTTCAATTGAAAATGATCGTAATTAAAAATAAATATGCGAATGTACAAGCGGCTCTGCACGTTTTCTTATTTACGTGTTCTTCTACCGAAACTTAAGATAGAACAATGTTCAAGAATAAACTATCGTCAAATTTACAAGCATATTTTTAAAAACTATATAAAATATTGAAATTATATATTCTATTCAAACTTTTGTTTCTCGTCTAAGAAAGATGCAATTTTTTTTTAAGAAATTTGATTTAAAAGGAGAAAAACAAAATTGTTGAGAACAATTCGAGAAAGCATGCTTTTAATACAAAAAAAAAAATATATATATATATATACATACAAGACTTACGTTTATTTTCGGATCATTTCATTTCCATATAAATCAGACGTAGAAAACGAACTTGTAAATTTGATGATAAAAGATTTGGAAAAAAAAAAATAATAATAATAATTATAAATTCTATATACAAAAATATAATACACATATGTTAGACGATCGACTTTTACGCGAAGGTGATTTGAATGAAAATGAACGGCCATGGGACACACGTTTCTTCGAAATCAAAGCTCGGTTAGATAATTTCAAATTCGACGAAGGTTGTTGTTCGTTAAACAAAAGGAAATAGTTTCGACAATGGGATAAAAAAAACGAACACATTTAAAACGATCGACAATTAATTTGAAAATGACAACTTTTTTTTTCTACGTATCATTCGCGTTTATTCGACTGTTACACGTGTCCGCACGTACAACGAACTTAAAAAAAACCGTTTCATTAATAAACGCGAGATAAAATTAGTATTCAAACGTGAGAATCAAAATATTGAAAAAGAAATAAGATTCATTTAAAATATTTCTAAAGTTCCGTGTGTGTGTAATTGTTACAACAAAACGTTCCAACCTTTTTTATACACGTTTCATCAAATAATATATATATAAATGCAAAACACGTGTAGTTACAGCGAATTCGCGCAACGAATGATTTATTTATTTAAAACAAATTTACTATGGGGGCGGGAGGGGGGTAGAGAGAGGAAAAAAGAGAGCAATTTATTGGAGTACGAAAATTGTTGATATAAAAACATAATAAAAATAAATTAATAATAATAACAAAAAATATATAAGATGAAAAAGACTTATTTAACACAGATAGACGACATCATTTTACGCTTATTACGTACACACTACCGACCAAAAGTTTTGGGTACGTCTACTGGCATTTCTATTACACACTTATATACAATCATCCTAATTTTATTAACCTTCCTTTATTCTTACACATATTTTATATAACTTTACTGTTATCCCTCAAGTAGTAAAAAAGAAAAAAAAGAAAATAAACTCACGCAACAATATTCCAAATACTATTTACGAGATCACATAAAAATACTTTAAACGTTCAGCTTCAACCCTTATTTTTTTTTTTACAAATATTAGATTGTCTTCTCACAATCGGTTGACACGCAGTACCCAAAAACTTTTGTCCAACAATAGTATATAAAAAATTACGTAGGATATATTATACAGAAAAAAAAACACACGCATACAATAGAAACGTCAAAGTAAAAAAGTGAAACGTTAAAAATAAAAAAAGGGGGAGGTTGGGACGGGGCAGGAGAACCGTTAGAGAGAAATATAATAATACCGGGTGGTTAAATAAGTCTCTCTCTCGTCTAAATAAGGAGAACAATTTCGACAAAGAACTAATTGATCTTTTATGAATACTTATAATATACTCACTACACGATGCTACGTAATGGAGGACGATAAAGAAGTCACGACGAGCACAGGATTCGTTCGGCTTCTTCCTTATCACGTTAAAATTACGTACCTTGCATGGCGGAATGCCGTCTTTGTGGTGGTGGTGGACTCCCACCTGCTTCTACGCTGCTTCCACTATGGCTGTCCAGTTGAGTACTGTGACCGCTATCACTGCTCGTCACTGAACCTACACACACGTCCCCAAGACACTTCCATCACTTAACACGTTCGAAAAATCCAAGTCTCGTCCCGCTGCGGCCGCTGAACACGCTCATTTTTCTTTTTCATAATTTTTCTTTTCTTTTCTTTTCTTTTCGCATAGATTTGATTTTGCATTGATTTTTTTTCTCTCTATTATCTTATCGAATTAAATTTTCTCGAAGGAGGGAAAGAGGGGACGAAGGGAGGGCCCGTCAATCACGCGATCTTCTGCTAAAAGCTATTATTATTATACTAATCTAAGCTCTAAGTAATAAAACTAAGAATAAGAATAAAAAGAGGTAGAAACACAAAGCTCGTTCGAGAGGATCTTTCGATTATTTTTGCTCGACAAACTAAAGAAAAGACTACTTTTCTAAATATTTGTAAAATAATTCGAGAGAAGGGAGAGAGAGATAGAGAGAGATTATTAAACTTGATTAATAACTAATTAATCAATATAACAAGTGCTACGTAATGTAGAAAATAATGGATATATAAATACTCATCGGTGAGATCTCAAAGTTGTTTCTCTCGTTTAATAAAGTGTTGAAGTAGATAAAAGCGCGTGCCTCTCATCTCAAATAATTTTTCCATCTCCTGGAAACGAACGAAAGACGTAAATTCACGCGATTTTCTTCGTATGTCCCATGGTCAAAAAAAAAAAAAAAAAAGAAAGAAAGAAAGAAGAAGAAGAAAAATCAGGAAAGATGGGAAGTGGTAGGAGAAAAGATGGGAGAGGTGTAAGGAAAAGATAAAGAGAGAAAGAAAGAATTTTGGGATTCGAATAGAAAATAATTTCTTCTTTGGAATGTGAGGATCTTTTGTTTAAAGGTGATTTTGATTACCTAACAAACGGCTGATCGATAAAAGCGCGAGAGCTACGGTAATAAATACGGCATAACAATATGCGTGTGTATATATGAATATAATAAACTAAATAACATGGAACACACATTTATGAATTGCGTAAACGGCTGTGCAGCGTGCAGACAAAATGGAGACTTTTTTTTTCTCATTTACGAGACCTGACCAAGTGTACGTTACGAGCAATGATAAGGTGCGTGGATGGTTATGTCGCGAGATGCATGCCCGTGATATATATGTGTGTTTATATATATATATATATCGTGTAAAATAGCAACTTCTAATCTAAATTGTCCAAACTTGTATTTTCGTCCTAACTCATTGGAGAAACTTTCATATATGTATGTGTGTGTATATATATATTATATACCGATTCGCTCGTTTTCTATGCTTCTACTACCTTAGATATCGTTAATGTATGTTAGTTTAATTTTGGTTTTAACCATAAACTCAATTAACAATTTTATTATCATAATTAGAAATAAACGAGATAATTAGTTTCTCAAAATAATTCCAACGCAATTACAAATTATAGACGTGTTGTTGTTGTTATTATTATTATTACATTAAAAGCTGCCTCGAGCGAAAGCGATGTAATAATGTAATTATACATACGAGGTAAGCGAAAAGAGAAGAAATCACAACTTTGGACAGTCGTGATTAGAAAAATTGCCTAAGGTATGAAATAAAAACGCACGACATGAAAAAGTTCGATTAGCGTGAAAAAAGAAAAAAATAGAAAAATATAACGTCTACTTTGCTAATACTTCTCGGCAGCATCTCGTTCAAAACCATTCGAAGTGAATAACGATGGATACAACTTACCGCTCGTTAACGTTTTCCGTAACGGTTGAAGATTACTCAGACTTGTGACACTGCTACTCTCGGCACTGAGATCGACGGGGGGTGGTAAACTCGAAGGAGTATCGCTGTGCGATCTTTCGTGCATCGGAACTCTACTACCGGAACCGACTCTTCTCGGTGCACCAGGACTCGGCTCCAATCCGCTAGAATGCAATGCCAATCCAGGTACTGGGAGGGGTGGTGGACAATGTTTAGGTTGGTACGGTCGAGTTTTGTGAGGATCTGAAAGAGCCAACATTTTTCTTACTGCCTGGGGTGAGGCAGCTCCGAACTTTGTACCTGAGAAAAAGATACGTTTCATTCAATTCCGAATAACAATAGTTGACTCATCAATATTTGAATAATTTATAAACATATATGTAAGTAAAGAAACATTTATAACGATTTGTACAAACAACCGACCTTGTATACTCTTTCTTCCCTCGCTTGTGCTGCTGGCACTACTCGTCGTTGAAAGCGTAGGAGAAGGATGCCTTCTCCCTCGGCTTCCAGTGAGTGGTACCGCCGCAGCCATTGCTACAGCACCAGCATGAGGTTCGCAATCGACGGAAAGACCGTGCAATCGTTCCTCGTCAGTAATTACTTTCATGTTCGCAAGATACGCCTTTACTCTTCTAACCATTTGTGCTTCTTCGAACATTTTTTTCGGATTCGGTGCAGCGGCCGATTTCTTACGTCGTTTCACCGTTGCCGTTTGACCACCTACGCGTTTTCGCAAATTTTATTATAGATACTTCTAACAACAACATGACATTAACGTTTACAATTTTCTTCATCTAGATTGTTTATCTGCTGTACCTTGATTACCCGTTGTCATTTGATTCAAAGCTACCATAGCGGAACTCGGTGGCTGGCCACCTCTTTCCAACATAGTCAACAAATCGTACGGAGACGAACACATATTCGTCAAAGTTCGAACCTCCTTTGCGATCATTCTAAGCTTTTCGAAATTCACTAAGCTTTCTACTCTGGAATCGTTACCCAGATGAATAAAAGTCAAATCTTTTTTGACTACGGGATAGAAGGGTATCTAATTGTCACACAAAAATACAATCGATTAAATATAACGCAACAACGTTTTCATACAAATATTTTCAAAATTTATAATAATAATAATAATTGCTTACGATTGGTGGTTGCGTTTGTTCGGATGCTACTAGTTGACGATATTTACTCATGTTACGACTAGGATCCATTAACTCCTGTAAATCACTAAATAATCTCTGATATTTACTTGGCAGTTTTTCCCAAGATGCTCTCAACCTTGACACTGCACCATGACCCAGACCAGATACAATTGCGAACATTGAATTAAAATTTTTACATTCTTTGCATTGACCTTAGAAAATCAGAAAAATCAATTGAAACGAGGATTCAAATTACACGCATAATAAGTCTACAGTATTTCTACAAGATTGATAATAAACTTACGAGCTATTTTTATAAACTGTTTAATAATCTTGCTACGACGCACAAGATTATGCTCGGAACACACTTCCGTAACGACCCAAAACATTTCTCTATTGACTAGCTCCGCGAATTGACTGAGCATTGGTATTCCGTACCTGCTCTTTAATTCAAATAAGTCGTCCACATATTCTGTAGATTCAATTTGTCTGTAAAAAATAACGATGACGTTGACATATTAAAAAAGAAAAAAATACATTGAACGCGTAACACAATACATGCACCAGAAATGAAATTTCTATGTTTTAAAAATTACAATATAAACAGGGCTTCTTTGCGCATGGATCACAACCCCGTATTGAATCGCCAGGATTGCAGCATCCTTTAGAAAAAATTTAAAATTCATAAAAAACGCAACGACTGAAAATTCATTCAAAATCAATTTGGTAACACTACACGGATGATATGTCTGCGAGTTTATGATACTGAAAGAGTAGATAGTATGTAAAATCTGTATCCAGGGTCGCAAATATATTTGCTCGAATAAATTATTAGGTCGACAAGTAGAAAAGTTTGAAATACTCTGCTATTGAAAAGAGAACGAAAAAGTTACAATTATTTTATTTTATTTTATTTTATTCATTCAAAATTTCACGAAAAGCCAACATAGAAAAAATTTAACCGAACAAGATTTATTCACTAAATTAACGAACCGTATCTCTTTGAACATGTGAACTTAAATTGAAAAATTCGATAAACGATGACGTACGACTTTCAATGTACCAAATGAATATGCATAGTTACATTTTTTTTAACGTTTCCACGATTGTTAAATGTATATGCGTTAAAAATCATCAAAGCTTCAAAAACGGCGTCTAAAGAAATTTCATTTCAATCAAAAAGAAAATTAATAAATAAATATCACTCACCTAAATATACTAAAATCCTGTAGAGTTAACTGGATAGCTACCTCCACGGCATTTAATTGTAGAAAATGTACTTGAGATTCACGGATAAGTTCCGGCGCTTGTTCATCCGCTACCAAAGTTTCGGATATACCATTAGTCTTTAAATAATAACGCGAACTTAAACCAATTCTTTCAGCTAGATTTTGCAATTGTTCTGGTAATCTACGCTGCTTTATCATACCACCCTCGCCAACACTCACTTCCGCTAAAGAGAAATTCGAACTACTTTCAGTGATACCAAACTCTTGTAATGCGAGCATCACCACCTTAAATTAAACAAAACAGAACATAAATGAATAACGGATATTAAATCTAATCGCAATTAAACATGTGATGTTCTTTTTTTTCGTAAATTAAATTACCTCGTGCGCCGTTGTTTCTTTATGAATGAGAAGATATTTACAAGTTTGATCAGCCTTGTAAACCTTTAATACGTGTTCCGGATAATCCGGTGCTCTAAGATCGTCGTAACAGTACAATGATGTAAGATCGGGATTACTTTTCGAGTGATAAAGATTAGTTGTGGTTTGCGAGCCGCACGTTCCTGGCGGTGTGTGTGGTGGAGCGAGAGGATCATCTAAGTGCACACCATCGCTACGAATCAAAGAACACGAGTTTATTTTTTTTAAATATTCTATAAATAGAGTATATAATACGTATTACGCATATGTCTTATAATACTAACTTGATTGTATTCTTTGGCAGTATGTTCATTTTCATAAGTGCTTTTTGTAACCTCCTTTTAGGTCCAAGAGTCATAAATCCTTTATGTTCCTTTTTGGCATCTTTGCAAGGAGAAACGTTACTATCCGGAATCAAGAGATGCATGCCTCCTACTAAAGGATTTAAAGGATTTACTGGAGTTATAGGATCAACGTGAGTAGAGAGTCTTGCACGTGGATCAGATTGAAGTCTTGGAATTTCTGGCTTATTTGCCCTTCCTCTTGGCCTTGGAGAATTGTCGGGCATTTGTAGCATTTCTTTAAAAGCTGCGCATACATAATATAATCGAATGTTCAAATATGATCTCTATCATCTATATTTAAATCGTTATTATATTTGTGAATAATTACCGAGAAGATTAGATTTGACGGTGATACTGAGATGAGTGGAACCTCTTAGAATTTCCAATGCTTTGGCATGATTAACATGTTCGAAGCTTTGTCCGTTGACTTCCAAAATTTGATCACCACGTTTCAAACCAACATCCTCAGCCTTCGATCTCTTATCAACTTTTGAAATAAAAATTCCAAAACCTCTCTCGTAACCGCCTAAAATGCTAAAATGGAGAATTTCGTCTCTGCTAGGCCTTGCTAACGTTACGTTTCGCGTTCTTGCTTTTGCCGCACAGGCTATGTTTAATAACCTGAAAATTTCCAATGAAAAATATATATTTTATTAGTATTTCTTGCAATTATTATATATATAATCTCACATTTAATAAATAAATGATCAGCTCACCTCTGTTGACCCTGCATTTTTTCTCTTTCTAACCCAGTCTCAAAATCTTCTAAAAATTCCATCATAGCTGGATCCGTTTCAAAATCCGTAAAATGATTATTTACCCAAAGTAATACAACACGTGCAACACGGTCTCTGACCTGAGCTTGATTAAACCACTCTAATAATTGATTTGCAACTAATAAAGGGCTATTGATAAAAGTTCGATGAGTTAATAAAAAATCTTCCACGTAAGTGGGATCTGTAATACTGTTTTCTTCAATAAGTTGTAGCATTAAACGCTCTGGAGTTGCTCTAATCACAACATGACCCCTGCGCACACCCCCATCCAAGGCGCCTCTTAATTCCGTAACTAACGTCACCCTACCATTCTCTTCGTGTCTTCTCGTATTTTCTTCACCCTGATGCTGAATTCTAAAATAATCTGCTTGTGTGACACACACAAATTGGCAGTCGTCGCATCTAAAACGAAACACTAGTTCTTATTTCTGTTAAAACATAAGAAAATGATTTCTAATCGACCTACTTACTTTGTCCTCATAACACCTTGATGCAGAAGTCGATCCATGGTAGGCAAGATCCCAAAACTATCTCCAAGATGAAGCTGCTCGACCTCCCCATTACTGTGTTCAATTTCAACCGTACCATTGATAAGTACACTCCAGCTATCCAATTCTTCTCCATCATTTAGAACAACCATTCCAGCCCGTTCAACTACTGCAAATACCATTACTGCGCACAGCGCTCTTCTTACAGCCAATGTCATATTGGTGAAGGCCTTCAGTTGTTGTGTAAATTCTAAAAGTGTCTCTATATCTTCTTCCGATCTTTCCACAGGATCTTTTTCCAGGCACTCTCTTACAGCATCCCGAACATTCAAACTCTGAATATATAAAGAATGCTCTTATTGTCATCAAATTCTATGCGCTCTAACCATTTGATTAAAAATTATAGAACGATACTTACATCCATACTTTCAGCAAGATCTTCCTCCTCATCGCTGTCCACTATAGACTCGACAAGGCCAGAAAGATCAACCTCATCTGCATCCGCATCCAAAGAACTTTGTACAGAAGTCATTGTGTCCGAGCCACTGTACGCAGAACTTGTATCACTCGAATGACTACTCCTATTAGATTTTTGATACAGCTCCGGTCTACCTGTCAGGCCTTGTGAAAACTGCAATAACAATCATACAATATTTAACAATTACCCTCCAAAAAATATCCAAAAAATGTATTAATATAAATATTTAATTCTAGCCTTCCTACACGGAAGCATTGAAATTTCATTAAATGTTGTATCCTCCTCGCAATTCAATTACTACTCACGTTCTAAAAAAGAAGATTAAGCAAACTGTTTACATGATTGTTTTCATTGAGAAATCATTAAGCAAACGACATCCGGTCTCACAAAATAACAGGAAAAGCCTAATCGTCGAATTGAAAGAAAAAAAGAGATCTTTTTTGAAAATATATTATATATATTATAAAATCGAAATAAAATAAAAAATAAAAATCATTGTCCGATGTTTCTTCAATCTGTCAAAACGCATCGATGGATAAACACAAGCAACCTGTCATCATAATCTCTGGAAAATTAGCATTAGAATTGATCATGAGGTTTCGTCTAACGGTAAAAACATTGTTTTATTTTTCCATGGGATATGCCATAAACGTGTTAAAGAAAATACTAAGAATGGGCGTGTGTAATTGGGATGAGCTGTTTGTACATGGTTAGGTTAGGTCTTCGTATGCGAGACATGACATCACGCATGCAAGGAGAATAAGATAGAGGCGCGCCGTTTAACGCATACAGTCGCTCGTGTCCAAACAAAACGTCGCGACATCTGTCATCTCTAGGAACGCCGTTGTGCATCGCCGTACCCCATCATCATCATCGTCAATATCATCATCATCATCACGATGTCACATCCCCCCAAGAGATTCATCAGATACTCGACTAATTACGAGGTCACTTTGATAACAGGACTTACTTGATACATGCCGAAGGCGTCCATGGTGTTTTCTGATCGACAATAATTTTCCACTTGAACGAAGAACTCAACCTTTTTCCTTTCAATACAAGCAGCAACACACCGAGCTAATCAACGTTATTTTAAAACAACTTTCCTTATCTACCTTTTTTTTTCCTTTCAACACAACACACTTTTTCTTTCGACTTATTCACGATGAAAAAACGAGATCGAGATATCTATCCACGCTTCTCGTGGTGGACATCTTCGCGACATATACAAACACACGCGACACAACCAACAACACACACACGCGCGCACGCAGCACCGCACACTATACAACACGCACGCACACACTTGATTCAGACTTTTGACGCGTCGTTATTTTTTCTAACGTTCCTCGTGTGCCGAAAAAAGGACGACAATAAAAATATCGATGCCATACACGCAACGTGTCTTTTCTCCCGCCCCGTTACCGTATACTATCGTCCCCCCCTATGATACACACCCACGAGACAATGTTCTTTGTGCGTGTTTCATAAAACTCGTGGCGCGAGTAGTAGTATCGTGGCCTCACAGGCCGTCGACTTAGTGCACCGAACATGGGACTGAAGTTCTTTTCTCCTTCGGAGACGAGACCGATCGACTTCGGTTAACTTCGACACTTTTCGCCTTCGTACAAGACCGAGCGCGCCATCTGAATGTCAATTTCCACCTATGCCAAGAGGCGGGAAAATCGGTAAGGCAGACTTTCAAGAAAGAAAATTAATTTTCTTTCTTTTTCTTTTTCTTCTCTAAGGTCTTTAGGAAAAAATAAATGTCACGAAGAAAATTATATGTTTTCTTTTCTTAAAATACTACATAAAGAATTTAATATGTTTTTAATGCATGGGTATGATTCATAAATATATATCCGAACGGTTCGATAAAACGATAGAACGGGCGAACGATAACGTTGTGAAATAAGGGAGGCAATAACGTAAGAGAGGCAATATATCGATTCGTGTCACTACGTAGTTAATAGTTTTGGCATCTGAAGCGTGTATAACTGTCTCATTGGAACGGAGAGAAGCTGCTACTTGCTCGACTCTCATCCTCTCTCAATCTCTCTCCTCTCTCCCTCCCTCTTCGTTTTCGTCGTCATTCCCCTTCCCTTCTCCCACCCTCATTCACTGACATTCCCTTCGAGAGCGCGCGGGAGATCACGTGACCTGGCCAACGAGAGTATTGGCCACTCAGGTCCGTCTCAACGGGGGGTGCCCTTCGAAGGAGGGTGCCACCTGTAGCTTCCGAACATTCTGCGTGCTCGCCATAGTGAAAGAAATTTGTTTCTTTTTTCTTGGAAACGCCTCGATCTTTCAACTCCTCAAATATCCTAACATTCCCTCCATCCTAGTAACTTTCGTACAAATCTTTATCGACGATTTTATTTAGAATAATAACTAACTTATTATAAAAAACAAATATACGTATATCCCTTTTTTAATATAAATGGATTACACGAGTTTTAAAATTCCGATAATTCATTGGAAAACGTCGATCTAATTCAAACTATACACCGGCATAAAGTTTTTCACTTAAAACTTCTAATCTAATTCCCGTACGTCTATCATACGATGAAATTCGTCCGATAGTTCGTCCGTCCGTTCGTTCATTCGTTCGTTCGTTCGTTCGTTCGACTCTCTCCGGCGAGAAAAAATTTTCCAATCAAGGTTCATGGACATTGACGAGTTACCCAGAAACGTAGACGAGACGATCGCATCCATGATTCTTTCGAGATTGATTTTTTTCTCTTTTGTAATTTTAATAATAATAAACAAAAATGAAAAGAGAAAAATAAAAAGTAAACATAAAAGAATTACATTCCTGAATGAGACATTTTAAAAGGATCGATTTACAAATACGAAGAAAGTATATCTCGTTGATAAAAAAGGAGAGAGCTGATAATAAATTGAATTCGTAGAAATAAATGAACTTTGAAGAATGATTAAACATTGAGACTTCCGTCAGAAAAGGAAGGAGTGCTCATTTCTTAGAGAAACGATTACTAAAGGGTTAGTCAAACAATGACACCTGAATTGATCTTGATAGTCTTTCAAAGTCCTAAGAGATTGACTTTGCTAGGCGAATGTTATTGTGTGAAAGGAGCTTAAGAAAGTCGAGGTTGGTCAATCGACGCTCCGGTCTGCTCGAAAGAGGTGCGAGAAGGAGAGAGGATGGATAAGAAAGAAAAAGAAATACAGAGAGAAAGAGAGAGAGAGAGATTGAGAGAACGTACACCGGTCCGTTCAAAGCATCCAGCAGCCCAGCAGCTCGAAGAATGAGCACTCAAAGGCCACTGCCCGAGCGCCGTATGATTTATACGAGCCGTTATGTCTCGCGTCTCGCCTCACTTTTCCTGCTGTCCCTTTTTTCTTTCTTAAAAATAAAGAAAAGAGAGAAGAGAACAGAAGAGAAGAGAGACCTTACCTAAACGGCAAATTGTCATGAACAAGAATAAACGATACCCATTTTCTTACTATTTCCAACAATGGCAACAATAATACAACATTCATGTTACGAGGTAGGAAAAGAGAAGGAAAGGGGAGAGGAATAAACGTTTTCTCCAAGTTGTTAGCGTTCAAATATTCCAAGGACTTCGGCAGGACAATGCTGAGAATGCGTCATCATTGGACTTACGACGACGATCTTGTATACCTATACATTCTCCAAATAGGAATTTCGTATCTGGAGCAGTACGATTAAAGAATGTCAATTGCGACTATGTGACCAAGTTATATCGTGAATTAATTCGTCTTCCAAAAGATTAATCCAATTTCGATGGAAATTATGTTACGCGGTTATGGACAAAACTTAGAAATATATATCTTCATTTGATGAATATAGTATCATGAAAAAAAGTTGAATTTTTAAAACGTGAGGATTCGTGTATATGTATTTGTATATAAAAGTAGGATGAAAAAGGCACGTGACACACTACTATTCTTTCATTAACGTATAAAAAGTTTGAGCATGAGAGTGCGTTTGCGGTTGGGGGTGGTGCGTAGGCAAGAGCACACGCGTCACACATCGTTGTCGATAAAGAAAACTACCTGTCCTCATATTTCTTTCTCTCTTTTTCTCACGCATACACGCACACACACATTCTCTCTCTCTCTCTCTCTCTCTCTCTCTCTCTCTCTCTCTCTGTTCTTTTTCTCGTCCTCATATGTAGGTTTACGCTTACGTATATACACGTATCACACTCTATGACGCAATATCGGATGATCTCGTAAAGACTGGTGTAAAAAGAAAGAAGGACAAAAAAAAATGTAATGGATGGAAATAAACGAGAGGGCGATATCAAACGTCGACTTGGAAAAGGTTCCCGTGATCGATCCGATCGTAACCTTTCGAAGGAATTAACTAAGGAGGAACCAATTCAAACGCCCATCCTTGTTTTTTTTCTCTTTCTTTCTTTTCGAAGAATAGAAAGATCGAAAGGTTGTGTATATCTACCGTATCGTCGAAGACCAGGTTGACCTGACGATGGTCTGTTATGGGATGCGGATGCGGTGGCCGATGCATCCTTCCTCCTCCATGTACTTCTGGATAATCGATCTGCAATTAAAAAAAAAAAGAAAGAAAAAACAAATTAATCGTTGCAAAATAATAGCAAAAAAAAACATAAACCGGAAGTAAAAATAGGTCGACAAAGTTCAAATATTTTTCATCAAAGTTTTCTAAACTTCTACCCCCCCACCCCAATCCATCCATTGAAATGTTTTCTTTTTATCATTATTTCATCGGGGTTGACAAATATTTATCTACGTACAAGATTATCATATAATCTAAACGTGCGTTATTTCGTTATCGTAAAAAATAAAAAAAAAACAGGTGAGACTACCGGAATTACCTCCACCCCTCTCTCTATCTCTCTTCGTTTTACCGGAATAAACATTTCGTTTTGAAATGGATTCTATCGAAAGATCCTTTATGTATATATGTATCTATGTATGTGTACATTGTTTCTACGATAATCTATATCACGATCATGCCACCTGCTGCTAATGGAAGCTCCGGGAGCTCAGCTGCATCAACTTTCCGCGTCACTGTATACGCGATATGCTGCTTGCAACGGAGACAGTTTTTTTTTTTTCTTTTTTTCGGATGACAGTTATATGGATAGCAGTTTGTGTTGTTGAGTAATAGAAAAAAAAATGGAGAGAGAGAGAGAGGATGAGAAAGGAGGAAGGAAAAAGAGAAAAAGCAAGAGACAACGAGAAAACGTACGTGCTTCGGGCCGGAACTCGTAGGCCGGACTTCCGGCAGATATGTTGGTTATACTCGCCATTCACAGAACCGCTCCCTCGTGATTCGATTGTCCGAACAAATATTTAGCCAATTTCGGAACGAAAAATAGTTTCATCGGGACTATGACGAGAGAGAGAGAGCTGCTTGTGTATGAGAATGAGAGGAGGATAAAGAGAAAAGGATTTCCGCAAAAAAAAAAGAAAAAATAAATATAGTGAAAATTATTTGTCGTCACCGGAGCATGAATGTTTAGCTACGGGGCGACACGAAACAATATCAACCTAACACGCGAACTTTACCATGGAAAAAGGTGTTCGTTCTTAATTATATATATCTTTGATATATTATATTGTCACGCAGTATTCTCTAAGGACATCTTTCTCTCTTTCTCTTTCTCTTTCTCTCTCTCTCTCATTGATAAGCTTAATTTTTTGCAACAATACACTAAGGATAAGATCCCAGACAAGATAGGATATAATTAATAAAAATATGAATATTAGTTTTTGTTCGACAAGTAATTTCATATTTTCGATGATAAATAGAAGAAAATTTTTCTTGCGTTTATATTTATATTATAATAAAAGAAATTTGAATCGTCATCTCGAAATGAAAATCATTCGAATTATCGGAATAAAAACAAACACGTGTATATTAAATACACGCGTGTGTATCTATATATATATGCATTAAGGTATACATTTTGATGACAATGCTGATTACACAAAGGATAGGAAAGAAAAAAAAAAAAAATCGGAAAATGATGCGATTGCAATCGCGTTTATTGACAATTTCGTTTAAATGACATCACACAGTCATCGGACACACGACGAAAACGCAATTGCGATGACCGAGTAAGAGAAACACGAGCGTGTGATGCAATTTAAAAACAACCATCAGACAAAAATTTGCATGCATTTCCATTGCGTAATCCGCGAATTATAAATAATTATTGTTTAGAGCATGAAGTCGGGGGGATAGAAGGGAAAGAAAAGCATATACGAACACGAATTTTCGTCAATAACGACAATATTTCTTTTTATACCAATGAAATATTTTCAATCGAAACTTTTCTTACAAACATTGTCAATCTTCTGAAAAGTTTACGGCAATTTTCTCCTTGTTCGTCAGATAGAGAGAGAGAGAGAGAGAGCAAAGAAGAAATGATAAAATATTAAAAAATATTATATAGATATCTAATAGAGAGATATTAATTAAATTTTTTTCTATGTATTTAAAAAAAAATAAATAAATAAATAAATAAAAAGTCAAAGGAAACGAAGCATACAAAAATCGTTAATTAAAAATGATAAAGGGCAAAGATATAAAAAAGGGAAAAGAAAGAAAAAATAAAATTCTCAACACATTTTCGATTTTACAATTAGTTTCAATCTCAAAGTTTTTATTACGATTTTTATGAAAGATAAATAGACAAAGAGAGAAAGTGGAGAGGGGTGGGTGGGTGAGGAAAGAGATAAAGATCTTTCTAAAAAACGATGCATCTCGACAAAGTATCCAAGCAAGGGACGAGTAAGAAATAATCATTATAAAGTTCCTCTTTCCTCCTCCTTGCTGTCTTCCGTCTGTTCCCATCGTTACTCGTGCTCTGCGTGGGCCTGCCAGAGCTATGTGGGCGTTTACATGTATATGCGTGTGGTGCGTACGCGCGCGCGAACACCACTTCGTCTCTCTCTCTCTATCTCTCTCTTCCTATCTATTCACGTATGTAAAAAAAAAAAAAAATAGACAAGACACAATACTTTAGATTTTCATTTTCCGATAAATGTAGATCACGATAATTCATAATAATTATGCTATTTTCGTTATTTCGCAAGTGTAAAGTAACAAAAAGCAAAAAAGAAAGATTGAAACAAATTATCATTTCCATAGAAAAATTTGTTATATACATATTGTCGGAGATTGTGACAAAAAAAGAAAAAAAACTAGATAAAATTCGTTCATAAAATGATTCCTTATAAACTTTACCTCAGAAGAGGCGATGGACAATGTTATAGGTGTACCAGGCCAGCTTCTGGACAACGACCGTCCTTTCCTTTTCCTCACCACGACTCGAGGTCGTCCAGTCCGATTCATATATTTCAACATCTCGTTGACTTTGGTTTCTATCTCGTTTCTCAACTTTTGAATCAAAATTATCGAACGACACACTACTCTCCTATTTCACTATCTCAAGAAGAAGAAGATGAAGAAGAAGAAGAAGAAGAAAAATACAACAGTATCATCGCACAGATATATAACATTTCGATTCATCGTTTCACCGATAATATTATAACACATACACACGCGCGTACACCACTCAACCAATGTTAAAGAGAGAGAGAGAGAGACACAATATAACACTTTTATTTAATATAATTCACCGATCACTCGTTCCTCCTTCCTATTTTCTTCACGCGTTCAAAATTTCCACTATCGAAATATACATATATATATATATAGTTCTTGTTTATCGTAGCTAGCTAACTAGTTAGTTAACTAGCTTTCTCTCTATCTATCTATCTATCTATTGACGGTCATATGATTACAGATATATATATATATATATATAGAAAGAGAGAGAGGGAGAGTGTTTGATTTGTCAGCAATGAACGCAGTTGTTACCATGTCACAAAGTAAAAACAATCACGAATATGTAGACATTTCGATGACGACCTTTTCACATTAGAAATGAAACTATTATGATAAACTTTATATTATTATAATAATTGATATATTTATAGATAGATAGAGAGAAAGAAATAGAAAAAGAAAGACAGAGAGAGAAATAGAGACAGAAATAATCTACAAGAACCACGCTTCGCGCTTCGCGCCGGCGAACTGAATCGTTGACGATTCTTAAGAGGGCCAAAGACCGAGTTGAGTCGACTCGACTCGAGTCCGTCACGTGATGATTCTACACACGAGTAGTATATAAAACGTATGGTGCTCGTATCATTCCTTTTCTTCTTCGTGGGTCAGCACCAGCACCAGCAGATCGGCTTGGCGGCGTCCGGACGCGAACGCGGACGCGGACGCACACATACACTCATTCACATATATACACGCATGTCACGCACACTGTCGCCGTCGACTAGAAATAAGCTCGCGAACGAACGGGTTGATGATGATGATGATGATGATGACTAAGGAACTTTCATCTTTATGATTACGAGTATCAACTATAAAAACATTTTTTGATCAAATTATAATCTGACAATCAGAGATATCGATGGATTTCTATTGAAATTGTAATTCGTTCATTTGTAAAGACTCGTTAAAAGATAATTTATAATATATATTTAATCACAAATTATATATTGATAAATATAAGTAGATATTTAGTAGAATATTATTAGAAAATGGGCATAAATAAATGTAGTTTCTAATTTTTTCTTAATATGCCATTCATTAGAATAACTTTATTTGCGTACAAAATATATTTGTAATTAATTTGTAAGTATTATAGAAAAAAAGACAATTAAGGAGAAGAAGAAGAAGAAGAAGAAGAATGAGAAGGAGTTACATAGTTTTTTTAAAAATCCCCCTACTTCAAAAGATGCATCCTGAATACTCCACGATCCGTTAAGCCCATAAGATAAGAATCTTCAAAGATAAGAAAATGTAGATAAAGAGACAATGGATCTAGTGTGGAGGAGATAGATCGCGTAAAAACGATAATACTTCTTATGGAAAGAAGAGAAATAACTAAGCGTAGGTTTTTTATGTAGTTACGTACTGTAAAGAGGTAGTACGTATCCCCTTGGATCATGAAACATTTATAATAACTTTGTTAACTAACAATTATTAACGAAAAATTATAACGTACGAGCGTGACCAATCGTGTAATTTGAATTAAACAAATTTAGGTCAAACGATAAATTAAAACGCGACCACACGCGATCTTTTAAATACGATTACATTATTTTTTTTACTATCTTCTTAACCTATTTCATAAAATCCGAGCATTTGTGTTTTTTTTTTCTTTCTTTTTCAGAAGTCGAACATTTTTAATTTTTAATCATTTACAAAAAAAAGAAAAAAAGAAAAAATAATTATTTTGATAATTCCAACGCGATGTAATTACGATTACCAAAATTAGATATCTATAATTACTTTGTTATTTTTAATTACAGACTCTACTCTCTAACATCGAATCCAATTATACGAAAAGTATCAAATAAAATGTCCTATTACCGTAGTTTTACAATCGAGGAATAAGATTAGTTTGAAATGAAAATTAAAATGAACGTCGGTATGAAGAACGCAAATTTCTACGTGGGTTTTTTTTTTTCTAATAAAACTACACATGC